GATAATAGGGCTGGAAGAGTTCTCTTCCACCAGAGGCTCTGACAGCAAAAAGAAGCTCAGAACACTACAGACTGTCAACCAAGGAAGTCTTAATATTTAAAACAAACGAAACAAAGGCAATATTACAACAAACTTTTACATATAAAATAAGCTACAAGGATATATTGTACAGCACGGGGAATATAGCCAATGTTTTATACTAACTATAAATGGAGTATAACCTTTAAAAATTGTGAATCACTGTATTGTACACCTGCAACATACAATATTGTACATCAACTTTAATTCAATTTAAAAACCATTACACGTGTAACAGCTGGAGATAATGCTTGCTTTAGTTATTTGATTTTAAGCAAACCCTTGTGAAGTACTTACTTTGTGCCAGATAATATTCTAAGTGCTTTACAAATGTTAAATCATTTCATCCTACACTTCCTATAAGACGAGATGGTGTGCTAATCTTTAGCAACAGTTTGCTCTCCAATGCCCAGGTCTTTGCCCAGCTCTGCTCCATCTCATGAGGGATCTGAACTGTAGGTTGCATTTCCCAGGCTTCTGGGTCCTGTGGTTTCTAGGTAGATTCAGCCAATGGGAGGCATTGGTGGGAGATTGGAGTACAGACGTAAAGCAGAAGTCAGGGTATTTCTCCCTGTCTCTCTGCCTCTGAGGCTTTAGGTCCACTAGACAGGTCCATGATAGTTCCTGAGATGACCATGGTCCCCTAGGACCCAGAACCTATTTCTTCCCCTCGTCTCTCTGGCCTGGGGATGCTAGAGGTTTCTGGCTTTTGCTACTCTCTCAGTTGCTTCAGTATCTCTTTTTTGGGGGGCTTTTCAGATCTTCCATCACCCATAAAACAATCTGGCATAATAAATTCTCCCCTCCTTTAAATATCTAGACTGTGTTCCTTTTTTTCTCTTTGGATCCTGATTATTATTATCATCTCTGTTACATAAAAGGAAACTAAAGCAAAACAAAATTAAATACATTTCCTCAAGGTCACGCAGCCAGTAAGAGTTAGAAATGAAGATTGAAACAGGCAGCAAGTCCATGGCCATCACTATTACTGTACATGAGAAATGCTCTCCACTCCACCGCGGTGGAGACACTGTATAAATCAGTAGTTCTCAAGCATTTTAGTTTTAGGACACATTTTTACTGCAAAATATTATTGAGGACACCAACGTGCTTTTGTTTATGTGGGATAAATAGAAATCTTTAAATCAGATAGAGGAAAACAACATACCACATTTAGAGAAACAACTGTTCAAGAAAAGTGGACTTTTCATCAGAAATGATGGAGGCCAGACACAGTGGAATAAGCTGTTAAAGGGCTGAAAGAAAAAGCTGTAAAAACAGAGTCCTATATTCCATGCACATGACCTTCAGGAATGTAAGTGAAATGAAAGCATTTTGAGATAAAATAACATCAGTAGAATTTGTTGCCAGGAAATCTGCACTGTAAGAAATGCAAAAGGAAATACTTTATGCTGAATGGAAATGAGACCAGAAGGAAATTCAGAATTTAGGAGAGAATAAAGAGCATAACAAATGGCACATACATGGGAAAATATTAAGGTGATTCTTTTCTCTTAATTCAAAAAATACACATGATGGTTCAAAGCAAAATTATAACACTTTGCTTTTATAGTTCTAACATCTGTTGGGTTTATAATCAGTAACATGCTGGAGCCAGTGTGCACTGGCTTGTGAGAACCAATTGTTAAGTAATAAGAAGGTTCTGCATTTTCATTGTGGTGGTGATTTTACCAGTGTGTAAATTTGTCAGATCCTTAAATTATATACTTTAAATGGATGCAATTTATTTTACTTAAATTATATCTCAATAAGGTTGATTTAAAAACAAAGGAGCCCCAAGGCAGCAGTGCCTCCTATAAAGTTAGACTAGCAGGGGCACCTGGGTGAAGGAGGGTTGGGTGAGGGTGGAGATTGTATGAGATCTTATGGGTCTTATCAGCCTTGATACGGATTTGGAGGCTATGTACCCAGAAAAATTAACATTCCCTAGGACAGGGGTGGCAGTGGGGATAGCTCAGTGGTAGAGTACATGCTTCGCGTGCACGGGGTCCTGGGTTCAATCCTCAGTACCTCCACTTAAAAAAAAAGATCCCTAGGACACAGAGCAATGCTCATCATCTGGTTCCACATGGGTTAAGTCATAACCCACTGTAGTTAACTAATGACAGTGCACCCTGAAAAGAGTCCAGGGTGAAATATAAGAGGAGGCATTCTATGCTTTGGATGAGCAGGCCCCTAGGTAGGTAGATACATTTCTCAGGAAGAATTTCAATGACCCCAGATTCTTGCATCTTCCCATACATAGAAACGCACTAAATTCATTAACTTGAGATATCTGTTCTTTGTGATTAGCAGTAAACGATTACCAAGATGTATGCTTGACTGCACGTGTTTCCTGGCCAAAAATCATATACAAACTGGTTTCTCCCCTACCTCCTCAGAGCTAACTGAGTGGCTATCTCCCAAGTGCTAGTCCTTATTAAGATCCTGAATAAAACTGAAATTCACACTCTCACATTGCATATTTTTCTTTGAGTCGACAGGGTTTATTCTGAAGGTGATCAGAATCCCATTGGCAGATTTTGAAGAGAGGAATGCCATGCTCTGACTTATATTATTGCAAAGACCGCAGAAGATATTGTATATTGGTTACACAGTTCAGTGCCTGACTCAGTAAATAAAAATATTCCTCTTTTTTAAGGCAGTGGAGAAAAGGGGAAAGCAGGCTACTCTGTAAAACATGAAACAACACCACCATCTAGTGGGAAAAATCCTAACTGCAAAGCCTAAAAAGTTTAATAAAGGATGTGAAGTTAAAATCTAAACTACAGCATTTCCCATAGAATGAAATAAATCTTGCTGTGAATTAGAACATCCTTATCTGAAGTGATTTTTAAGTAAATATAAGGTAATGTGGTTTCCAAGACACACACTACTGTGTTTTTTTCTTTCGGAGTGGGAGGTAATTAGGTTTATTATTTTTAATCGAGGTACTGGGGATTGAACCAGGACCTTGTGCATGCTAAGCATGCGCCCTACCACTGAGCTATACCTCCCACTGTGCTAGGGTGTTCTGTTTCTTCTACCATGTGCACTTCTTTCCTCCAGGGAGGTATTTCTTTGAAGTCTTCCACCTCAAATATTTGGTGAGGTTTCACCTTTAGTCCAGTTTTTAGTTGTATGTCACACCCTCTCTGGGTGATCTTGCTACCAAACCAAACTTGAGTCTGCTTGTGAACAGCAAAGCCAATCTGCTGATACCAGGTTGGGGTGAAGAACAGTATAGCTTTTACTGCAAGGTGCCCAGCATGGGGCTGAGCAAGGAGCATAGGGAGCGTGTGCTCAGAAGTCCTGAACTCCCTGATGGCTTTCAGGGAACAGCTTTTAAAGACAGTATGAAGCGAGTCTTAGGGTGTGTGATCAGCTCATGCACAGTTCTTTTGACTGAATGGCAGTGAGGTCCCTGGAGTTATTTCAGAAGTCAACATCAACTTTCTTGTTCCAATCGGTCTGGGGTCTACGTACCTGTGGTCAGCAGTTAATTTCTTCCACCTTGTGGGGGTTTTAGTCTCTGCAAAACAACTCAAGGATATGCCCTCAGGATATTATCTGTAGCCCTTGAAGAGAAACTAAAGGTCCTTGACATTGTTTCATGGCGTAAGTATTATTATTGTGTCTTGCTTGACTGTTTTCCTTTGTTTCTGTGATGTCTCACTTTTCTGATTAAGTTTGCTCTTTGGAACTCAGGGAAGGCCTAGGAGGTTAAAGCTTTTCTATAAACAAGAGGTGGGGAGGGGGTCTGTCCCCAGGAAGGTCCCACAGGCTCAGGTTCAACCTCATTCACTGGTACTCTTGTAATCGCCATATATATATGCATTTAAAAGCTTTATCTTTTAGCTCCTGGCCAGACCTTTATTCAAACTCCCAAGTTCTAGGTCCAGCTTCAAGGCATCTCCTCATATGTATATTCTCAAAGCAACTCAGTCTCCACATATCAAAACCAGAACTCATCTCACCCCAAATCTATTCCTATCCTTCCTACAATGTGTTGTAAATGACCGGAAATGAAGTTACTGTTGCAGGAATCTAGAATTCATCCTTCATTCTTTCCCCTCCCTTACTCCCCCTGTATAATCAAATAGCCACTGTTGTCCATTTAATCTCAAAAATTATTTCTCAAACCCAGGGCCCCTCATCATTATTTTTGAACTCTCAGCCCCTCACCTACCACCTAGCACAGAGTAGGTACTCAGTGAATGGACAGACCTAGTCCAAGCCATAGACTCCCAGACACGACGGATGGTCCCCAGACCGCAAGAAGTGAGATGCTCTGTCCAGTTCTACTAGGGCTTCGCTCCGGGTCCAAGGTGTTTACGCAAACCCGGCCGGATGTTTTCAGAGCCATAACAGACTAGGCTGAAATCAGTATTACGACCTCCTGGCCCTGCACTCTGGGTCAGGGGTTTGCTTCTTCATTTTCAAAACGGATTTTAAAAGGGCCCACTTCACAGGGTTGTGGTGAAGGACTTAGGAAATTATGCTTGCAAAGTGCTTATCACAGGGCCCACCGCTAGCAGAAGATGAGACTATTTTGATGGCGAGGAAATGCGGGTATTGGCGCGAAACTGGGCGGGGAGGAGGGCAGCGGAAGGGGTGGGAGAGGGTTCTACGTGGCGCCCCGCGGGGTCGCAGCCCGGCTCCTGCGAGCTTCCGCTGAGACAGCCTCGTGGAAGCCGGGTTTTCTTCCAGCAGCCGCGGCTCCGCCTGGGGTGCCCAGGCCTGGGCCGGGTACGAGCCAAGGGGAAGATTGCGGACCGCCCCGGGAACGCCCCCGCGGCGCGCTCCGCCCCGGAAACACGCCCCCGGCCGTCTGCGCGCGCTTTTGAAACAGCCCGGTTCTTGTGTACGTTTCACAGGGTCCTGACAACTCCGGGGGCTTGG